CATCCAGTCGCCCGCCCCGCCCGCCCCCGCCGTGATTGCTCTCCGTCATCCGGTCTCCCCGCTGTTTCCTCTGCTTGATGTCGAGTCCCTTGCCTGCTCCCCCGAGTCTGCTCTTCTCCTTGTTCTCCATATTCCGTTCTGTGTCCTGTCGTTACTGCCCTCTTCCTCCACGTCTGCTGTGGTGCAGCTCTCGTGTGGTTTATTTTCCAAGAGATTTACGGCACAGACGAAGCACCCGATATCTGCAGGTTAGGGCCGGAGCGAATATTTTTTCACTCTTTCACGAGTCCATAATCGAGAGGCAAGGCTTGCATGTCGCGAGTGCACTACGAACCCGATTCTTCCCTTCGCTGTTCGCGAGTGCACAGGTCATTGTTTGTTGCGTGTGCACATGTCCCGTTGCCTGTCTTCACGTTTCTCACGAAGCGACACACCGACAGAATGCATATGTGCGAGTGAAATAATGAAGTGTAGGTACTCCTTTGGATACAAATCGTCATCTTATACGTCGCGTAAGAGGGGCATCAGTTCTGTTTCATGCGATGAAATATGAAACGTTACAGTAGTATGAAATGCCTGATTGAAAACATGTTCGGCCCCGAAAGATACCAAGTGGTAATGCACACGCATGGCGCTTGTGTCTGCATGTTGGTGTGCGAGAACAATGACACGTAAAGCAAATCCGCCTCGGTTTTCGTAGTGAGCAGCGCGTTCATCGGGCAACTAGAATAGTGGTCTTGAAGTGAAAAATCGTAGCAACAAGAGAGTGAACGATAGGAAGAAAGGGTCGCGGTTCCCACAGTCCGGGAAGGTGTGGATGAGGCCACCACCAGCAGGAGCAGAACACCTTCCCGAGAACTACCAACAACGGGATATTTGATACAAATTTATCAACCACAACATGTACCAATCTCGAAGGTGGAATGCAGACATCTACTCCGAGCCGGTGATGCTGGCGAGGAAGATGAAGGTCGTCCGAATGAACAAGACCAAGGCCGCGTACTCCGTGTTTAAAATCGTTCAGATGGCGAGGGCGGAGATAGCGCAGGCTTCCCAGGCCGAGATTAGCAGCGCTTCTGACAGCGAATAGGGAAACGACGAGTGAAAGCAGCATTATCGTGGAACACACATTGTTGCCGCCACATAGCCACAGCTGTACATCCTTCGTGGTTTCAGCCGATTCACGCACGGGGTCTTTCCGCGTGTTCCAGTTTTCACGGAGCTTTTGTTGACCAGGAGACGGGCGCGCGAAGATCATGGTTACTAAGGCTGTGTCATACTGATTACCGGCCAAGTCACTACGTGTATTTTCTATACTCAAGATTTTGCTATCATATCCCCCTCCATGCCTTATCGTGAATTGAATATCGGGGGCAAGCGGGGGTTGCTGATCGTTGACATTTGATAATGTGATGATGTGGGTTTCGACTTCCTCTTTATTCTAACTTGTCCCACCAATGTTGCATGATGTGTGTACAAGCTCGTGGCTTCTAGCGGGAGCACACTCAACGTCCGAAGCCTGGCCACATGTACGTAGTGACATCCCTACTTTGCACGCACCGGAGTCCAGGCGGCGCTGGTATCGGGCCTGCACGTAATCCGTGCGAAGAGCTGTGATCCTGCACTACCGTTATGTTAGGACAGCCTTGCCGCGCAGGAGACCGAATAGGACGGATACGTCACAATAGTATTTGAATTCCTCTACACTTGCTTGGTAGAGTTTTACTCGCGTCCTCTAACCTTTTGTACTCGGTGCCATCTTGAACCGCTGATGAGTCTAGATATTGGTTGTACTAATAGTCCTCATCGATTTGTAGCTTCTCCCACATAGTGATGTCATTACGTACCGGAGTCCAGGCTGCGATTCTTTTAGGCCTGCCCCTGCCCCTCTGTATTAATTCGGAGTGTAGGATGGCCTGTGTAGTCGCGCCAGAGACCGCACAGGGTTGAGGGTTGGTAGGCACTCATGGTGGTTCAAGGTCTTCACCACTGTTGTCGTCAATATGAGATCAAGCCTGTATCCGACCGATAACGCCATGCATTCGGAACAAACGCATTAACATACTTCGGTATGTCCTAACTGACCACGCGCACTAAACGCGCCGATCGCCTAAAATGTCAATGTCCTACCGACCATCCGCACCAACACAACATCGAACATCACGGATGACATGTTCAACCGACCATCCGCATCAAATGGGATATTTTGAGTGCCAGCGCGCATACTTCGTCATCACGGTCGCGGGTTCGTTTCAGGAGTTTTTCTGCACAGAGGAGTGACCATGAATGTAATTACCAGTTTACCGAGTGGGGGACAGGGGCGAGACAGAGCGGAAACACGTGCGTCTCATCCATCACACTCATAGCATCCCATCCACGAAACCCCCTGAAGTTTCGGAGTTTCGTATTTCGTCCAGAATACACAAAAAGTCCCCCTACTCGGTACGAGATACCAGTACGACCGATGAAACCCTCCGTACATATCGCGAGGTAAAACGAAAATACATCAAACCCCAACATATACGAAAAAATCGACCATTGACAATATCCAAAGCAACATCCAAGTAGCCCCCGGAGATCTCGGAGATCCCGCATTCTGCCAAAGAGGAGACGATCACCCAGTTGTTACCGTGCCATTCACCCTTCCGAACGAAAACATGTCAAACACGCACGGACGACATAAGTTGGTCATACGGATCACCACATCATGCATACACAGCGGATGATGCCAAGTCCTACCGATCACCCGCACCAAAACACATCAAAATATACGCGGATCGCAGGCTTCTTATCCGTGCGGACCACTCATTCCAAACTCATCGATCTATGTCCTGCCCCCGATCACAGGGGACTTGCCCTTCAATAGGTGACCTCGAGCACTTCCCGGTTTGTGAAACATTCACTCGTTGTACCGGTGATTCGTCCACTGATCGAACACAGTTACTCCCAGCCGTTACCCTGAGTCCTGTTCATCCGACCACAACCAACCTCCTTCAAGAAAAGGAACAAACGCAGCCATCTCAACGCCCTTGTACTGTACTACACACGCAAGACGCATCATAACAGAAGGACCCCGCCGTGGCTTGCTCTAATGCTACCTCCAGCACCTCCGAAAAAAGTAGGAACGATGTGGCCCATTTCGTCCGTCCGCGCCTCCTGAGGGATTTGAAAAGCTCAGCCCGACAATTAAATACAACATACATCGCTACACACAACTGCAATGCATTGCCCGGCTTCTACGTCCCCAATCGAACCTCCCGTCTTAACTGCCTCATTTTTCACCATTGTGGCAACGCCCCCAGTCCCGAGGGTCAACACACTCTCCATGCCGGGGACATCCCCCGACCTCCCCCACTGTCGAGTCTCTCCCGTTCTTGCCATGGCGATTGTTGCGTTACCTCTGAATCTGTTCCGTCCGTCAAGTAAACTCCTGCCCCTCTTGTTCGGATCTGTCGTCGGTTAGTTGTTCTCCACAGTTCGGGCGGTGGCCACGATCACGACGCGACCATCTCTCACCCCTTCGAGGCCAACGCGCAGACTGAGCATTCACGCATGACCGCAAGCTGGCGTGATGGCGTGAGGTGCACGAATGCAATGCACCCTGAGCGTCGCAGCCCCTCGTCCGCTGGTCGCTCGGCGTATTGTAGTACCTGCTCCCGTTGTTGGCGCGAATCGCCGCCGCGCCTAGGCCCCGACGAGTGTCCTGGACTCCACTGCAGTTTCAGGCTTATTCGTCCTATTACTCGCCAACACGATGACGCGAACAACGACCGTAGTGTATTTCTCTCTTCAACTTAGTAGGCTCTCGCAGGAAAGGCTAATAGCATGTTTTGTGGATGTCTTGCGTTCGTCGATCGGTATTGGTTTCACTCCGGAACGGAGGGGGAACTTCCCGGCGGTAAAAAAAAAAAGAAATACGAGTACCGAGAGAACGGCCCAAGACGATTACGATGACGGCGACTATAGCAGCTTCTCGACCACGTGACTTGCACCGCGCATCCTGTTCTCATGAGCAAAAACACACGAGAAGGAAAGTTGAAATTTCCCGGTTTCCCATGAACCTTGGCTCAGAAGCCGGGAGTGTGGCCAGCGTTGGCACGTTGCGAGGCCTCCCCATTTGAAAAGGAGAGCCCACGTTGAGAGGGCGGATACCCATCCAACTCCGAGTGGTGGTACGGTAGGGGGGTCGTCCCTCATCTTGCAATTTCGGGAAAGCAGACACACTCTACCTGTTGGCCGCGTACTTCTTCGCCGGACGTGGTTGAAACAGGACTACAGTACACGCTTTCTCCAAAAGTGTTAGATTTCACCCAGGACGTGCAACCCCCCCGTAGCTTATCAGTCCTCCCGGCACGAGGCTCCGAATTCCAGCATGAAGAGAAAATTTGGGATCGCTGTTTGCGTCTCCGGGAGGGGGGCAAAATGTCACGCCTAAACGCTTACACAGCGCCGATTTCAGGCAAGCCTACACTAGCGATGCCAATCTTGCTTTCGCTTTTTTCGGCTGGATAGTTGGTGTTGGACCGCAGATAGTCTACACAGAAGCTTTCCGCATTACTGCAGGCCTGACCGATTCCAGCATCACAGGTGTCGAGCAAGCTGACATTTATACATACAAACATACATACATACATACATGCATGCATACATACATACATACATTCATACACGGTGTTGACGAAGAGATCAAACGCCCGGCGCACGGAAGATGGCAAGCCAGTACGTGAAAACCGGCACGCAGGGAATCTGACATGAAGAGCCCCGTTTTCAATCTTGTTGAGCCACACAGCCTACCCTTTTCTGGCCCCCCGGTGGAAAGCCTCTTCGGCCATCGTCACCCCCTCACAACGCGTCTGTGTCTCACGTGTTCAGCTCGTGTCCCACCAAGAGATAGTCGACGGTCGCCCCGGTTTCGTCCGCCACCGCGAGATCCGTAGGAGTAGCTGTAGGTGAGCGACGCGCCGTCGACCGTGGACGAGTCCGAGAACGTTCCCGCCACCACCTCGAACGGAACGCTAGGATCGTTCCAGTGACGGGCGACGAATGAAAGTGGGCAGGAGGGTGCCGCCCTTGACGACGTTGACAATGCCAGGGGGGGGGGGGGGGGGG